TTTATTTCACTCGTCTTACTATTTCATTGAATTTTATGTTATGTTTTAGTTCGACGGTGGCGTAGTTTGTGATCAAGGTGAAGCTGTAACAACCCCAAGACCTTACAACTAACATTAAAGCCAACTTCATGCCATCAGTAAAAGAACTCTTTATTGACTTTAAGAAGAGGTAGAAGTGATACTAGAGTATATCTGGGGTTTTCCACGGTTGCCATTTCTAATTTACTGTGGAAAAGATAACAACCTCATTCATCTAAATTTTTCTGACAAAAGCCAGAAATCCTCAAATCAACAAACCAATGAACTGATCAAATCTTAAAACCTCACATGAGAATTTACTTCAACACAACAGAGACATCGGTGCTTTTATTTTATGCCAATTCATGGCTCCCAGCTCCTCTCCTGCTCTCTTGGGTGGTTCTTACTGCTGCTTTAGGCGAAGGTGCTCGACTTTGAGGAGCAGCTCGGATTTTGTCGACTCTCGGATGGCTTTAAGAGCTGGTGAGGTTTGGATTTTAGCGCAGTCTACGACTGGCTGTCTGAGGCCAAATTGACATTTTTATCTTTCTTGTCTTCAGCACTTTTGCCACAAACTCGGGAACGCGTGCCTGAGAGAAACTACATGAAGACAAAGCTCCTCAGCCCCGCCGTTTCTTTTCTTTACTCACATGAAGCCATAGACGGAGGGCAGGTAGTCCCAGGAGCCGAGCAGGAAAAAGGAGAGACCGATGAGGACAAACAAGCTGCCGAGGTACATGAAGAGATACTGCACGATGAACCACCAGAAGCTGACCCGACGGAAATTCACTGGGATGTACTGACGCTGGAAGAGCAGAGACAGGGAGGTGGATAAATCCCAGCAATGATGCTCGAAGGAACAGAAACAAACAAACAAAGGAAAAGACAAAAGAAAAGTGAGAGCAGAGAGAAAATAAAACATTTAAAACAATGAAATATATATACATTCATAGACAACAAACCTGCATAAAATACAGCATGGCAGGAGCGCACAGGGTGATGGGATAGATGGACTGATAAGTGGCCAAGCAGAGGAATATGGCACTCAGTAAGACATTTCCTGAAAAAACAAAGAGAACCTGATAAAACCACAGCAAACTTCTAAAAAACGACATTTAAATAAAAGCAAAGTTCACGTTCCTCTGATGTAATTTTAAAAAAAGCTTCAGCAGAGCCAACGAATGGGATCAGCAGGAAAC